TCAAAATAATCAAGAAAGACACTTTTATCTATGGCTAAAGGTGAGAGGAGATAACAAAATAAGCCCCTGGGGAACTGATATCTTGAGATATGGGTCCACTAGTGAGATGTGACCTGCCAGAGCCACATGGGAGGGGCCTGCTCTGAATCTTCCCCCCAGGGACTGGCCAGATGAGTCAGCTCAATTCCAGACGTACAAACGCTGAGGTGGACAGAACTTCAGGAACTTTTATAATCCTGATAAAAATCAAACACTCTTTACCTACTGAAAGTCTGAACTATAGTTTTATTGATCTACAATCCAGGAAAAATTTGGAAACAAANCTACTGAAAGTCTGAACTATAGTTTTATTGATCTACAATCCAGGAAAAATTTGGAAACAAAATTCTGCTAAAATTTAGCTAAGAAAAATATGCAAAATGGAATAAACATGTTAAGAAAGTACAGCAAATCCATCCCCTGTACCATCTAGGACCCTCACTAAGGCAAAATCAATTTGGCCTAAAAATCCATAACAATCTCTTCCTCCCTTAAGGATGTACCTCTCTGAGTGTCATCTTTTTGCTGAGGGCCCCTGTTTGGAGAAAGGGAAAGAAAACATGCTGCCCTGTGATAGAAAGCAATGAGCTCACTTACATACAGCTCTCATGAGAAGAGGGTAAGGACTGCTTTATCACCAGACTGATCACACACTGGAACAGCCAAGGCACAGTTCAAGGAAAAAGGAGAAATCTACCTACATTAGACTCCTTTAGACAAGCACCCCATGAAGACAGGGGCCTCTCAGAACTGTGCATATTCTACTCACATGGACTCTCCGGGGAGTCCGGTGTAAGTGGTATTCCCAGCGGTGCCCTGAGTTTCCCTGAGCCAGTTGTCAAGAAAGATACCTGGAATTAGGGAGGCTCGCTAGTGAAAATGTTTTACTTGTGCTATGTTAACAGGCCCAAGGTATGGGTTGAATGTGTCCCCAAAAAATATATGTTGAAGTCCTAATCCCCAGCACCTCAGCATGTGAACCATATTTGGGAATAGGGTTGTTGCAGATGTAATTGTTAAGATGTGGTCATACTGGAGGAGGGTTAGTCCCTAACCCAATATGACTGGTGTTCTTATAAAAGACAGAGACACACAGGGAGAAGGGGGAAGAAGGCCACATGAAGACAGGCAGAGATTGGAGCGATGCATCTCCAAGCCAAGGAAAGCCGAGGACTGTGGGCCACCACCAGAATCTAGAAGAGGCTAGGAAGGATTCTCTCCTACAGGTTTTAGAGGGTACAACACCTGGATTTCAGACTCTCGCCTCAAGAACTCAAGAGAATAAATTTCTGTTGTTTTAAGCCACTCACTTCGTGGTCCTTTGTCACAGCAGCCTGAGGATAGGAATCCAAGTAAAGGCTGAAGCACATTAGTGCCATCCTTTCCTTAACCAACTATGCTAATTAATCAAGACATTTATCCATAACTCTTTAAGCACAAAAACAGCACAATGTAGAAGAAAGAACACTGGATCAGGAGCTGAAGATCTACATTGTAACCCCCTCCCCAGCAGTCCATTAACTTGTCTGAGTCTGCCTCCTGCCTATGAACTGGAGATAACGCCCATCCTACCTTCTTCATAGACAGGCTTGTAAGGATAAGATATCCACCAGTATTTTCAGGGTAGCATTATTTTCACACGTAGTACATAAACCAATAAAGGCTTTTAAAATGATTACCTCTAAGCCAAGAAGCACTTTAAGACAAAATGGCAATCAACTAGCAAGCAGCAGAAAGTAACTGTAATGTAAACCCACAAACACTTCAACACCTTTTTCCAGGATCCCACATTGTTTTAAGAGAAAAAAGAAAAGAAAAGAGCTGCTAATGGGTATTGAGTGCTGGCACCCAGGAGCACAGGAAGCACTTCAGGTATCTCAGTTAATCCTCCTAGCAACCACCATGTACAGCATGTATTACTATCTCCATTTCACACATCAGAGCACAAACTCAGTGGCTAAGGAATGTGCCCAAAGTCTTAGAGCTTGGAGGTGGTAGACACAGTAGTTGAAGCCATGTCTATTTGACTTTACAAAATTCCTTGTCTTAAAAATACTAAAAGCAGGTCTAGTCCCAGAGTTGTGGCCCTTCACCCACACAAGAGTTCATGCTGCACAACTCACCCCACCACACAGTCCAGCCCAGTCACCCACATGACTTCAACCACCCAGCTGCCAGTGCAGCCCTAACTGCCACTGTAGGCCCAGCCATCCAGCCACCCACGGAGTCCCAGACCTCCAGCTGACCACTTGGTACCAGCCACCACAGTTACCCAAATGGCCGCACCAACAAGTATGGGGGCAGCCATCCAGCCACCCACACAGCTCCAGCTGCCACAGCCACCCACATGGTCCCCACCCACCCAAATAGGCCCAGCCACGCTCAAGGCCCCAGCCACAGACAGAGCTGCTAACACCCCCAGAACTACTGAGTCTACCCGGAACTACTGAAACTGAGTTTACTTGGAACCAAAATTAAAACACCCCACCCAACCAGCAATATACAACAAATCTACAGGAGGGAGTCTCTCTCCTCAAAAGCCACCCCCAGAATAATCAAAGCAGCAAATGCTCCACCCGGTGAGTAGAAACCAATGTAGGGATACCAGAAATACAAAAAAATAAAATAAAATAAAGAAAATATGATACCACCAAAGGAATACTGTAATTCTCAAATACCAGACCCCAAACAACAGGAAACACTAGAAATGTCTGAAAAGGAATTCTGAGTAACGATCTTAAAGAAACTCAGTGAGATACTAGAAGACTCAGACAACACTACAAAATGAGAAAAACAATCCAGGACATGAAGGAAGAAATTTACAAAGAGATAAATACCATAAAAAAGAATGTAGCAGAACTCCTGGAACTGAAAGACTTTTTCAGTGAAATAAAAACTACAATATAGAACATAAGCAACATGCTAGAGAAAGCAGAAGAATTTCTGATCTTTTAGACAGTCTTTTTAAAATAACCCAAGTTGACAAAAAAGAAAATGAAAAATATCTAAGAGAGCTGGCAGACAACCTTAAGTGCACAAACATCTGAATCATGGGTGTTCCAGAGGGGGAAAAGAAAGGAAAAGCCATTGAAAATATATTCAATGAAACAATAATGGAAAACTTCCCAGGTATTGGTAGGGACACAGACTTCCAGATCCAAGAGGTTTAAAAATCCCTAAACAGATTCAATCCAAAAAGGTCCTCTCCAGGACACACTGTAGTAAAACTATCAAAAGTCAAAGACAAAGAGAGAATCCTAAAAACAGCAAGAGAAAAGCATCAAGTCACCTATAAGGGAGTCACCATTAGACGAACAGTAGACTTCTCAAC